TTTCCGATTGGCCAGAAAGCCGGCCCCATGCTCCCACATCCCCTGATGCCGAGGAAGCTGGGCGCCGTGTAATGACGCGTTGCCCGGCTTCCTGATTGGCCAGCTTCTCAACCAATCAGGAAACCAGGCAACGCGTCATTACACGACCCCCGGCTTCCTGATTGGCCAGAAAGCCGGTTCCATGCTCCCTCGTCGCCAGGTGACGAGGGAGCATTGAGACAGCTTCCCTGCTAATTGGGAAGCCGGGTGGCGAGCCTTTACACGCCGCCGAGCTTCCTTAATGGGACTTTCGGTATCGGTGAGTACCGGCAAAAAATATTGTTACTCGCTACCGAAATACCGGTATCAGTGCATCCCTACTAATTTGTATTGAGATTATAGCCCATCCCGGGAGTGAGCTTGGAGCGGTGACTCCTTTACAACGCACACAGGGGCCACGGGGAACTCTGATTTCTCTTCCTGTTAGCATGTCCCTTCTTAGCACATGAGAACCATTCCCAGACTTCATAGCTAAGCTTCACCAGTTGCAATTCCTCTGTCCAGTTAGAAAGACTCTACTGATCACTGACGGTAAGTTGGCAGTGGGCAGCGCTTGTCTATGAAGTCACAGAAGGTCAGGCTCCAGTAACAAAGGCAATCTAACTCACCGAAGCTTTCCCTGTGACAGGACTAGTGGTCTGGTCCCTGGTCTAGTGGCCTGGTCTAGTGGTCTGGTCCCTGGTCTAGTCGTCTGGTCCCTGGTCTATTGGCTGGTCCCTGGTCTAGTGGTCTGGTTCCTGGTCTAGTGGTCTGGTCCCTACGCTGGATGATGCAGAGTATGCTTTGCTTGACAGCACTATCTTTCTTACAGACAGGGAATCGCCATCCAGCTTTTCTACACCGATGGTCTTCACACGCAAGAAGGGTTCTGCACCTGGGCGCTCCTCATCCCTTGTATGCTGGAAGTTTCCATTGATGGATGGCCCTGTGCTCTGTTAGGACAAGATGGGATTCTGCTGCCAGTACTCCCTGGTGGAGATGGAGTATGTCCGGGAGGCTTTTGTGAGACCTGATCACTGGGAGATAGGTTCTGCTTCTGTGGCTGATGTGCAACATATTGATGACGTTCCTCCAGATTCCTTGCTCATTCCCATACTATCAGCGCCCTAAACGTTCTTAGCAATGAGACTTAGATTGCTGCCCCTTGCGCCTCAGCTGAGGAGGCTTTGCTGGATTTGGGTGGGAGTAGATGCTTCTTAGAACCATGTTTTCTGGATCAAGGAAGGCAGGTTTTCAGAGTTTTCTCTGACAGTCCCAGAGATGCCTACAGGTGTTTAGGTGGATTGGTCCCTGCTTACCCTTCAGTCCTCTTTTGTCTGATGCACCAGCCTGAGTTGTGGTATGCCCTCATCCCTGCGTACCCTCGTGCTGGTGTCTTATGTTCACGTTTCTCCCTATTTCAGTCCGTGTGAAGGGGGTTACCGTTGAGGGAGTACCCTTGGGGGGTTTTTTCTTCTAGTCTGATGGTTTATTTGGCTATCTGTGGGGATATCATGCTGTGAGGGCTCCCATGTCTTGTTCATATCTCACTATGAGGTTGTTTGGCTGACCTTGCACCTCTTATTTTGGAACCTCCATTCCCTCAATTGTAAGGGGTTCGGATTGTATGGTCCTTCTAGGATTGCTTTGGTCTTCTCATGTAGACCGGCTGGTCTTTTCCTTTTGGACCTGTTTTTGCTCCTCCAAATCTGTTATTCTAGGACGTGGCCCAGTAGTTGTTTTCTGTTGACCACATCTCATCGTTGGTCTAGTTCCTCGTTTTCAAGTTTTACGTTATTCCATCTTTTATGGGGGATTACTGGTGGCTTCCCACAATCCTTTATGCTGATTCAGGCTTCGGGTTGCTCCGGTAGTGTCACTTCCCTTGGCGGTGACACCTCTGCCCTAGTCTGGAGCCTCAAGTGTTTCCTCTGGGGTCTCACTTGGTCGTGGCAGTTTCCCGGTCTTTCTAGGGTTCTCTGTGGCTCAGATTTGGGTGTAATTCTATATCATAGATGGTTCTCAATATCCTGGA